CAAAGAAAGATAGAGCCATAGAGAAATTTTTAGAAATATTTCCGAAATTTCAATTAGAAAGATAGCTGCATTTTTAAGAATAACATTAAAACTACGTTAGTATTTGAATAAATAAATTTTTAAAAATGCAATGAAAAGGATTATAATATTTTAATTTGATTCTTTTCTCCCTATAGTGAGTGTGGTGTGGCAGTTAGAAGAATGATATACCATCTTCGTTATCGTCATCCTTTTAAAACAATTTACAGAGAGATAACATTTCCAATCATTAAATATTGACTAACATATTTTTAATTTGAAACAAGTCTGAAAAATGTAAATAAAATTATTCAAGAAAGTAGTTAATTTTAGGATTTCAATAATACATTAGATGATCAAGTGTATCCTCTAAAAATTTGACATTCTTTGATATTAAAGGGAAAAAAACTATTTAGGAAAAATTGAGTGTCAGTGATAAAAAATATTCCTTTTTATTATAAAACATGTCTTCAAAATTATCAAAACCTGCTTATAAAAATCAATAATCCATGTATAATTCAATTCAAGTGAATTATTGAAGGAAAACCAACTAAGAAGGTAAAAAATTATATTAACCTTTCACAAAAAAGCCCCTAAATTTTAAAAAAAAAAAGTGTGTGTGTACTTATGTACGCATGTAAGAAGTTATACTTCATTGGCGTAACAAGATTAAAATCTTTCTAAAAATCTTTAGCAGGGCAAGCTGGGCCAAAGACGAAAGGCGGTCACGAGAAGAGTTGAACCATACTAACCTTCAGTCAATCGGACCAGCCAAACCTGAGATAATCACGATTTAAATAAATTTAAACACCCCGCACAGGGACATAGGACCAATAATATGGGGAGGGGGTCGAAAGCGGGAATGATTTGTCCCCTTCAGCATATTTCTAGACAAAGCATTTTCGTATCCATTCCTACGGAACGCAAAGCAAAGGTTCGCTGACGCGGGTGTATAGCTTAGTGATAGAGCATTCGGCTGCAGATCGAGAGGTCTCTGGTTCGAACCCGGGTGTCCACTTCTTCAGGGAAGTGAAGAGAAATGTTTTTCTGAGAATTTCGAAGGTGGGAATGATTTGTCCCGTTCTTTATATTTCTAGACAAAGGATTTTCGCATCCGTGACGGTTTTGCGTCACATCCGTGATGGTGTGCGCGCGCATTGTAAAAATTTACCCTCATCCTATTCTCTAACACCCCAAAAGAAGTATAACTTCAAAAATGAAAAAAAGTATACAAACTTTTTCACTGAAGTAAAATTTACAGTAAATATATATATTATATATATATAGTAATATAAAATAAAAGTGAAGAAGTATTAAAACCTACAGTGCTAAAGCAGGAAGAAATTGGAATTCACCAGACACAACAAATGTAGATACAAAAAAGTCTTTGGACTAAACTGGAGACCTATTATGATTTCTAAAGCTGTCGCTGAATTAGGCCAGCGAATTAGGGTTAGCAATGCTTTATGGATCCAACCTTCCCCGTACAGCAGAAACTTTCGACATAAGGGGGGGGAACCCAAGTTGAAAAGTTAAGCCTAATACAACACGTGGAAGAAAAACCTGATAATATATTAAAATGAAGCTAAGAAAAGAGAACAGTAATGAATGTCTCAAGGAGAGGAACAATAATAAAATTTTTAAAAAAACTTACATGTAAAATAATTACTGGAGGTCGAAAATTCAACCTTCCACAGTAAACACCCAACGCGAGATGATTTAAAAGAAATGAATCGACTATTCGAGAAGGAAAATTCGTGGCGCCACCTGGATATTTATTTTGCAATTAAACAACTAAGATTTTTTTAAAAATAAACTAAATATAGGAAGTTTTAAAAATGATAGTGAACAAAGTTAAGAATAGATAAAATCAAATAGAAATATATTACAAAGTAAATAAACTTGGATGATTATATACTAATCGATATATTGCAATTAAAATAAGCGCTTAATTTTTTTTTAAATAAATTAAATAAAAGGAATTTTAAATAAAATAATGAACTAAGATAAAAATATATTTAATTAGAAATAGAAATATATTTATAAATAAATTTACTTGGATAATTGTATTCTAAACAATTATTGCAAAAATTCACAAAATTACTTTGTTTTAAAATGTTATCAGTAACTAAATCATTGTTTCTTTTTATAAAATTTAAGATAATATTTCTAAATATTGATAGTTGTAGGTTACTACCCCAAAAAGGCATTTTTATAATGTTAAAATAAAATGAGTCTCTTTAATCAAAAATATTACTTAATATCAAATTATTCTTAACCTTTAATTGAAGGTCCAAATATATATATATATATATTGGTATTTTATATTTGCATATTTGTACAAATCAAATATTGATTTTTACCTTAAAAATTATTATATAAATCTATCAAAAATAGTTTTATTGTAAAAAGTATATAAAAATAATAATATTAAAAAAATATATAAAATATACAGTATGTAATAAATAAAGAAGATAATAGAAAAAACTTTTAAAAATTAAACTTTTTCTTATTCAATACTATTTTTTCTTAAATTTCTCTATAATTTTTAATGTCATATTTAAGTAACAAGAGTTCCTAAATTAATATATATATATATATATATATAGGTCAATTCTCTACTAACAAGAGATCACATCCAAACAATAAACTCGACAAACACATAGACAGCAGGAAAATCATACAATGAAGGACAAAAGAGTAATCGAGATAATAAATATAAAATGGATGCTGCAGTGCCATGAACAATACTGACTTAGGACAGTTAGTATATAAAAATTAATTTATATAAAAGTGGGGTTGAACATGTTTTTTGGCCAGCCAACCTTCCCCCTTTATTTGTAAATAACACTGAGCAAAAACCAATAGGAAATAATGGATAGAAATATCTAAATCCATTACAAGATAGAGGTAACTTACCTAAAAATTGCACTTACAATTGCAAAGCCCGCGCTAAATCTGAGAGGAAACATTCAATTTGTTGCCAGATTCTATACCCTAATACAGATTTAAATCAAAAGAGTGGCTGAAATGTAGCACTTAACAAAAGATTACAAATGGAAATAAAAATTAAAATTAGTTGCATATTATAGCATAACTATAATAACACCAGAGTAAATATGAATAAAATAATAGTAAGTAATTTCTAATCTAATATTAGACTATGGAGATAACTATATCAAAATATTTGTTTATAGTAATAAGCTATTATCAATCTCATAATTTTAATTCTAACTATTTTGAATAGCTTTATTTATATAACTATTAATAAAATAAATTGGGTATTTTTGATTTAAGCAATATTTAGTAAAATGTGTATAATTATTTATAATGTCTGATTTTTTTGACACAAGAAATTTATTACGTTGTATATAATTAATAACAATATTTCTGAATATAGAAACATGTACATTACTCTCCCAATGAGGAACTTTTATAATATTGAAGTTAAATTCTTCTCTTTTATCATAAATATTAGAAACTATTACATTATCATATAATTTGACATGTATGTCAAGAAAATTTGCTTCATTGTTGTTATTATTTGTCTGTATTAAATTAAGATATTGTGGATAAAAATTAATGTTAGGTATAAAATTGGCTTGTTTGCCAAAGATGATTATATCATCTATATAACGATAAATATAAAATTTAGAATTATTAATGTAACTACTTTCAAAATAATGTAAGTATAAATTGGCAAGACAGTTGCTCGCAGGGCCACCTTGTGGCAATCCTGTAATCTGCTGATAATAGTTGCCTTTATGATATATATAGTTCTCTTTAAGTACAAACCTCAGTAGTGAACCAAATCTATCAGAATTAACATTATTAAATAAATTGTCTTTATGTAAATTTACAAGAATATTAATCAAATCATCAATATTAATAGAGTTAAAGAGATCTTCAAAATCTAAACTATAGACTGAATAAATTTTTTTATCTTTCATTTTCTCAACAAGTGATTTGCTATTTTTAAGAATGGCTGAGGATATGAGGTTATTTATAGTTTCATGCAATATTTCATGGAGAATTTTGCCTGTTTTGCTGATATATGTATTAAAACCATTTGTAACTGTCCTAAATTTAACTGGGTCTTTATGAAATTTGGGAGTTAGAAATATATGTGGAAATTTAAAATTATTATTAATTTGAATTTTTAACTTTTTATGAAAAGCCAAGATACGTTTATTTATTTCTCTATCAGAAACAGAAGACTTAATAAAAGCTGTATTATTATCGAAATAATTGTTGATCAATAAATTATAATAGTATTTACATATGAATGCAAAATTTCCTGGCACT